GTGGAAGGGAAGGGGAGGAGGTGGAGGCGGTGGAAGGTTGAGGGGAGGAGGAGGTGGAAGGTGATGGGGAGGAGGAGGTGGAAGGATGGGAAGGATGTAGGAAGTTATGGGGAGGAAGGAAGGTCGAAGTGGAGGCGGGAGGAGGAGGTGGAAGGGATGGGGGGAGGAAGAGGAGGGTGGAAGGTGAGGGGAGGAGGTGGAAGGGAGGGAGGGAGGAGGAGGTGGAAGGTGAGGGGAGGATGGTGGAAGGGTGAAGGGGAGGAGGTGGAACGGTAAATGGGGCGGAGGCGGTGGAAGTGATGGGGAGGAGGAGGTGGAAACGTGTGATGGGGGAGGAGGAGGTGGAAGTCTTTGAGGGGAGGAGGAGGTGGCAAGGTGAGGGAGGGAGGTGACTGCGATGTGGCGAGGAGGGAGAGGGGGGTGGAACGGTGATGGGGAGGAGGAGGTGGAAGGTGATGGGGAGAAGGTGGAAGGTGATAGGGAGGAGGTGGAAGGTGATGGGGAGGAGGTGGCGTTGATCGGAGGAGGTTGGAAGGTGGATGGGGAGGAGGAAGGGGGAAGGTGATGGGGAAGCAGGTGGAGGAAGGTGAAGGGAGGAGGTGAGGTGATGGGGAGGAGGAGGTGGAAGGGATGGGGAGAAGGGTGGGAAGGGGGATCGGAGGAGGTGGAAGGTGATGGGGAGGAGGTGGAAGCTGATGGGGAGGAGGTGGACGGTGATGGGGAGGAGGTGGACGGTGATGGGGAGGGGGTAGGGCAGGGTATGGTGGGGCGCGGCACTCAAGCATACTCCAGGCAATCCTATTAACTAAAAAGTGGAGCAGACACACACACACACACCCACACACACACACACACACACACACACACACACACACACACACACACACACTCACACTCACACTCACAAACTTACATACACACACGTCAGCATGCACAATAAAGTGCCCCAGCTGGAGTCTCTGACAGTCTGCTATTAGAATCAATCACATTTGCACATTTTTTATTGAGCTTTTCAGTAGTTGGGTGCATATAAGCATGGTGGGGGATGGTTTGGAAGAAGAGAGGAAAGGTGGTTGGGGGAATAGTCAGTAAATAATGAATCATCTATAAATCAATTATTTTTTTCATCAAGGTGATAGCTATTCCCTTCATCACACGTTGCGGGATAGAAAGAAGCAGAACTATTAAACAACCTTTTTCTAACCTCGCTGTTTTAGAGCCATTGCTAAAATGATCATTCACTCTGGAGCTGTCCACAGACATGTGGTTCTGAAAGGTCTTAAATAATGTTAGTCATGCAGCTTATGAGAGCATAGACCTTCGCAGAATGTGAAGAAAAAAACAACTATTTGATAAAATTGGGACACATACAAAAACAGAACAAAGTGTAACAGCTAACTGATAAAACCCTGAACTGCAATTGTTTAAATCATGCCAATCTGTACAAGACTACTGTTCACTACATTTTCAAACTTAGTGTCTTCAGGGTAAAGAAACACCCTCCTACCC